TGTGCCTGCCTCTCCTCAGATCCGGTTTTGCCTCTGACAGCCCCTTCTGTCCACACGTGTCCCCACCACCCAAAGCAGGGTAGAGACAGAGCTGGAGCATCTGCTGGGGTCCAAGGTGGGTGGCTAGGTCCTGGGGTGGTGTGGAATGGGCTGGTGTGGGGGAACCCTGACAGTAGCAGCTTCCCGGCCTGACCCCAGGGTAGGTCTCCACCCAGACCGCATATTAGCTAGGTTCCTGTGGTCTCTGCACACAAAACAGGGTGACCGGGCCCTTGCTGGAGCCTCAGAGGCCAGTGCAGAGCAGCTGGGGGCCCTAGTGCCGGCCTTGCAGCCTCTCTCCCAGGAGGATGGGCAGGAAAAGCAAACATGAGGTAGCCAGTGGCCCTGCCAGGTGTTCCTAGAAGAGGCCTCAGGGGAGGGGCCATGAATAGACATCAGCTGACCTTGAGGTCACAGGAGGGGCCAAGGCTGGGCCTGGGCCCAGCAACTGGCGGCAGATCCTACTCGGGCTGTTAGGAAACCCCAGTTCGGGCGGGCAGTGTGCCGCACAGACAGGCGGGGCATCAGGGAACTAGGTGGCACCTGCTTAACCCCAACACAGCCATCAGCTCAGTCTGGGGGTGAGTGGTGGGATCTCCAAGACCCCAGGAGCTGCCCGAGGACCCCCCCCACCCCGGGTTGGAGCTAGTGGGACACTGGGTCCTCCAAACCTGCTGTGAGCACTGGCTCCTTGAAGGTTACTCAGAGAAGAGGGGGCCCCTACCCCCACCCACTCAGACCACCTACAGGGACATAGCAGATGGGCCCATGGCCCCCAGAGCCATGCCTCAGTCCACCTCAGATCCCAAAGGAGGCTTCGGGGTGGACAAGGGACCCTAGCCATTTCAATGTACCATCTGTACCTAGGGGACTTGGTGCCGACACTGGCCACCCGGCACGAGGGGGTTAATGGAGCCGAGACCTCGGGGCAGGGCCGGCCGACAGCTGCCCAGCAGCAGGGAAGCCAGAGGGCAGGAGCAGCCAGCCCAGCAGACCGCCCTTGAGCACTCTGCATGCGGGATGGCCCTGAGGAAAGGTGAGGCACCCAGGTGTCCCCTGCCACTTGCCCTGGGGTCAGTCAGTTGGTGACCCCAGCCCACTTGGACAAGGGCTGGGGCAAGCCAGGGGGGCTGGGGGGGGGTGGTCAGCTCTGGGTGGGCTAGTGGGGGACATGGCTAGGCCTGGGACCAGAGGGTCTGCTCTTTCCTCTCCTGGTGGTAGCACAAGGGAGGGCAGGGCAGATGAGACAAGTGCTCAGCCCTTGGGCAGTATGGGTGCAGGGAAGGGGCAAGGGGCTTGTCACATCCCACAGGTCAGATCGTGCCTGGGACTGTCTGCCAGGCCGGAGCCTGCTGCCCTTCCTGCCTCTGTTCCTCTGGCCCTGGCACCCTCGTGCTTCGCTCTGCCTCTGTGGGCGCCATCTTGATGCCTGGGCTGGCCACCAGCACATCGGCACTCCAGGACCACTTTCACCCTGTGGTAGACAAGCCAAGGGTGGGCGTGACACCACTACTGCCTACTCTGGAACTCTATGAGCCTTCAGGGCAGGGACAGGACCCCACAAAGGGGTTCTGGAGCACTGTTGTTGAGGCTGCAGCCACGTCAGTGGGGCATCATGCCGGCGGAGTGGACGGTTTAGGGTCCCCATCTGTCCTGAGGTCTGTGCCCTACCCTAGTGCCAGCATGGAATGCAGGCCAGATAGCAGGTGGGTAGGTCCCCCAATCCAGGGTCCTCAGGTGTAGGGACTGCTCAACTCACTGTTCAGCTACTGAGAGCAACAAGTGAATACCCCATCAGATCTTTTCCAGAAAATTCTGAAAATAGCCAATCTTAGCCAATGGCTTGGTTTTCTCCCTATTTTCCAGGCCAGTGTGCAGCCTGACCAGGCTTGAGCATGTCTCAAAGGACACAGATGGCTACATGGTCCAATGGTCAGGGGTGTAGAGTGCCTGGGCCCCACAGCCTGGGTGAAGTGGGGAACCAGGGCCTCTGTTCCCACAGTGGGGTAGGGACAGCCACCTCCTGGCCCCATGAGGTGGGGGTTGTAGCATGGCCAGTTTCTACTGTCCTTCCTGGCTTCTGCCTATGGTTTAAGTGGCTGACCACAGACTTAGCTCACAAATAGACCTTCCTCTTGCAACAGACAAGGCCTGCAGAAGTCTAAGGTCTGCTTACATCCTGGTACCTGCCACAGGCTCCTCCCTAAACCCCTCTCCCCACAGGAAGCCTGGCCCTGGTGGTGTTGGTAGTCTGGGCAGCACTAGGGCCCCATGGCAGCCTGGAGGGAGCAGAGCCCGGAGCACTGGCAGATGCTGAGGGCCCACAGTGCCCAGCCATGTGTGCCTGCAGCCATGACTACACGGATGAGCTCCACGTCTTCTGCAGTGCAAGGAACCTCACGCGGCTGCCCGATGGCTTCCCAGATGGCACCAGGGCCCTGTGGCTTGATGGCAACAACCTCTCCTCAATCCCCCCAGCAGCCTTCCGGAACCTCTCAGGCCTGGACTTCCTCAACCTGCAGGGCAATCTGCTTGGGAGCCTGGAGCCACAGGCCCTAGTGGGCCTGCAGAACCTGTACCACTTGCACCTGGAGCGGAACCGGCTTCGGAGCTTGGTGGCCGGCTCATTTGCCCACACACCAGGTCTTGCTTCACTAAGCCTCAGCAGCAACCTGCTGGGCAGGCTGGAGGAGGGCACCTTTCGAGGCCTCACCCACCTCTGGGCCCTCAACCTCGGGTGGAACAGCCTGGTGGTGCTGCCTGATGCTATGTTCCAGGGCCTGAGCAAGCTCCGTGAGCTGGTGCTGGCAGGCAACAAGCTGGCCTACCTGCAGCCAGCACTCTTCTGTGGCCTGGGTGAGTTGCGGGAGCTGGACCTGAGCAGGAACGCGCTGCGGAGTGTCAAGGCCAATGTCTTTGTGCAGCTGCCCCGACTCCAGAAGCTCTACCTGGATCGCAACCTTATCACGGCTGTCGCCTCTGGCGCCTTCCTGGGTATGAAAGCACTGCGCTGGCTGGACCTGTCCCACAACCGCGTGGCTGGCCTCTTGGAGGACACCTTTCCGGGCCTGCTGGGCCTGCATGTCCTGCGCCTGGCACACAACGCCATTACTAGCCTGAGGCCCCGTACCTTCAAGGACCTGCACTTCCTGGAGGAGCTGCAGCTTGGCCACAACCGCATCCGGCAGCTAGCAGAGAAAACATTTGAGGGCCTGGGGCAGCTGGAGGTGCTTACGCTCAATGACAACCAGATCCAGGAGATCAAGGTGGGTGCTTTCCTTGGCCTCTCCAATGTGGCTGTCATGAATCTCTCTGGCAACTGTCTCCAGAACCTCCCAGAGCAGGTGTTCCAGGGCCTCAGCAAGCTGCACAGTCTGCACCTGGAGGGTAGCTGCTTGGGGCACATCCATCTGCACACCTTTGCTGGCCTCTCTGGGCTGCGTCGGCTTTTCCTCAGGGACAACAGCGTCTCCAGTATTGAGGAGCAGAGCCTGGGTGGGCTACCCGAACTCCTAGAGCTCGACCTCACCTCCAATCAGCTCACACACCTACCCCGCAGGCTCTTCCAGGGCCTGGGCCAGCTGGAGTACCTGCTCCTTGCTCGAAACCAGCTGTCAGCACTGCCCGTGGACATCCTGGGCCCTCTTCAGCGGTTGTTCTGGCTGGACCTCTCGCACAACCACTTGGAGAAACTGGCCGGGGGCATCTTCTTACCACTGGGGCAGCTGCGCTACCTCAGCCTCAGAAACAACTCCTTACAGACCTTTGTGCCACCGCCTGCCAGCCTGGAGCGCCTGTGGGTTGAGGGCAACCCATGGGACTGCAGTTGCCCCCTGAAGGTACTGCGGGACTTTGCCCTGCAGAGCCCCAGTGTCGTGCCCCGCTTTGTGCAGGCTGTGTGTGAGGGAGATGATTGCCAGCCTGTATACACTTACAACAATATCACCTGCAACAGCCCCGCCAATGTCTCAGGCCTCGACCTGCGGGACGTTAGTGAGGCCCACTTTGTGCACTGTTGACCTAGGTCTGCTGGCCTCAGTGCTCCTGCTGTGCTGGCCCCGGGCTTCAGGATGAGTCTTCACTGTCCCAGGGGCCTGGTTGGGTATGCTGTCTCTAGCTATGGGGACCAGCCCTGGGCTGTTTACTCCCTGGGTAACAGGGTCCTGGCAGCTGAGTGATCCAGGTTCAGGAGAGGTGGGCACGGCTGGGTACCCACAGACCTGACCAGGAAGGCGGGGGCACAGTAGCCCTTTCCAGCTTTCCACAATTAAAAGCTAACAAACACAGCATGTGACCTTGAGAATTAAGCTGAAGGAAGTGGAGAAATGTCAGCTGTGTTCTCATTTCCCTTACCTATGATCACTCCCTGTGCTTTCCTGGCTCTGTCTGTTCCGAGCCCCTGCCAGACAGGTCTCAGGAGTGTGTGCATTGCCACTTCACTCTTCTCAGTCCTCACAGCTGACCCCTGAAGGACCGCAGGCACTTACTGAGCTCCTCCTGAGACTTTAGTATCTCGTCCCTCCTCTTTGGGGCACTGCATAGGGACTGGGCATGTTTTCTCAGTGGCAGTAGACAGGGCCTCATCCCAGTGCTGCCCACTGCTGGCACAGTGGTTAGTGCTGGGGTGAGGTGTGAATCACAGCAGCACTGCCAGCAAGCCAGTGGGAGCAGGCTGGGGCACAGCTTGCTTTCCCACAGGCTACAGGAAACGCTGCCAGTGTGGCGCCTGGGCCTTATCCCAATTTTCCTCTGGAAGGCCTGAGCATGCCCTAAGAAGGATCATGCAGCTGTTCTGCTTTCTGGATTATATTTCCTCCCTGGCCTTACCAGGAAAAATGAGGAAAGGGCCCCTAGGATGCTTGGCTTACTTAAATTTGACTTCCTGGTCTAAGGCTTTGGCTCAGGCCTCCCCTGGTGTGCCCACAGAGGGCAGCTCTACCAACACCAAGCATGGCCACTCATAGGTTTCCAATATCAAAATCTTGTCAAGCTCCCCCAAATGAGACGGAGAAACATTTTCACCCATCAGGGGGCTGCAACAATAAAACTAACAGCAGCTGGTCTAGTCATGGAATGCTTAAAAAGCAAATGCTGTCATCACCAGGGACAGAGCTGAATGTCAGACTCATGATCAAGGCAGTGGGATACATTTAACAGCAGATTCCTCTACTGTCTGAGGCCAGTTCACCGCATTATGGAATGCTGCCCTGATGGCACAGAGTACTCATGGGGCCCAGGCCACCAGAGAATGGCAGAAGGCCTGGGCCAGCTTGGGAACCGTGTGGGTGCCCAGTTGTCAGGAGCAGTTAGTCAGTCTGGGACACTAGACCTGGAAAAAGCCTCGTGGGTTGTTGGCTAAGACCACCACTATCTTAAGGCACCAGGTCCAACCAGGTGTGATGTTGCGCACCTATAATCCCAGCACTTGGGAGGCTGAGGCAAAAGAATTGCTACAAGTTTCAGGCCAGCCTGGGCTACAGTGAGTTCAAGACCAACCTAAACTACTAGTAAGGCCCTGTCTCAAAAAACAAAACAAAACAAAAAACAAAAATGGTACCAGGCCTGAGCTGTCCTTCAGCCACAGGCCAGCCAGATGGAACTACTGTCAGTGTGCATCACTTGTGACAAAACCCCTTCAAGGATAGGGCCAGGCAGGTGACACTCAGTCATAGTGCCTGACCATTGCTGCAGGTCCCAGAATCCACCAGGATGTGGAAAGCCCTGGAGGCTGTGAGTAAAGCCCCTTGTGAAGGGGCTGTTAGGAGAGCAGAGCAGGCAACCTGTCCAGAATTTTCCGAGCTATGGAGGTGAGTGCAGGAAATGCAGGGCTCTTGGGGAACTCCTGGGTGAGGTCATGACCCTCCTCCAAGCTTCTGGTGAGCTCAGGGTCCAAGGGTACAGAGCCTGCAAAAACAGAGAAGAGGGCCAGAGATTTAGCTCAGTGGCTCTGTGCCTGCCTCACAAGGCCAGGTCCTGAGTTCGATCTCCAGTTACGGAGTGGGGGAAAAAAAGACAGAGGAGTCTGGGAGAAGGTGGCACCCTGAGGCCCCACATTCAACCATCACCTTCTGCCAGAGCCTGTGCTACTGTCTTCTATCAAGCCAACAACTGCCTCTCCCGATCACCCACTTGAAAGACAAGCAGTGGGGACCACAGTGTCCCGAGGAGATCCCAGAACCCCAGCTGGGTGCTGTGCAGCATCCTGTCTTCTGCTCCTCTGGAAATCTCTGTAGGCATCAGCCTCCCACACTGCTGGTAACTGGAGGGCTCAGCTGGTGGTGGCAGGTTCCTCATTCTTGCAGGGGTATAGTGGATCCACCCAGGGCAGAGGCAGGATGGGGAGCCAAGACCAGCAAGACCAGCAAGACCCTGGTGGGCCTGCCGTCCACACTCACCTAAGAAGGGGACTCCAGCGAGCTGGGCTAGCTCCTCTCCACCGCCCCTGGAGAAGATGTTGGTACATTCCTAGGAGACAAGGGCTGTGAGGGCCCAGCCCATCATGCTGAAAGCCAGGGGCTGACAGTGACTGGTCTCAAAGGCCTGTCTGTCTGACCTGCCTTTTATCGGTGCTCGTCAACTCTGTCACAGCCCCAGCAGTTTCCCAGGACTCACCTCACAGTGTGGGCAGGCAAAGCCACTCATGTTCTCCACAACCCCAACCACTTGCAGCCCTGTCTTCTTACAGAAGGTCAGCTCTCGCCTCACATCCCCGACAGACACTGCCTAAACAGCAAGAGAGGGCAGGACCAGTCAGCAGTGAATTCAGCCAAGAATTGCATGACGAATAGGGAGAACTGGTCACCAGAGTTGAGCCCAGTGGGGAGACCACACATGCAGGGGATGGGTGGAGCTGTGGGTGATACCTGTGGTGTGGTGACCACGAGGGCTCCCAAGGGTCTGTAAGGTCGAAGTGCTTCCACCACGGCCATGTGCTCATCAGAAGTCCCTGGGGGTGTGTCCACCACCAGGTAGTCCAGCTCCCCCCAGGCCACGTCAGATACAAACTGCTTTATCAGTGCTGCGAAGACCAAGAGAAAGTGGGGAGCTGTTTTGTGCTATGTGGACCAGCAGCCTTAAAAAAGGCACCTTACCCAGGAGGTCCTAACCAGCCTGAGGCCCTACCAGCCTCCATACTTTAGGTTCCTGGAGAGTCACCTGCAGCACAAGGCTGAGGCAGTGAGGGCCCTGCTGGTGGTTCTTACTAAGGGTAGGGGAGCAGAACACAGTGAGGGGGTGGCACCTGTCCCTATCCCCACAAGCACCACTTTCTCCCCCACTGCTGTGCTGCCCCCAGCACCTAGCCCTGTCTCTACATGCCCACCCTGCAGTGACTGGCAGACTCTTGCTAAGGACCCAGCTCAGGAGGGAGCCACAACCTTTTGGGGTGTCTCCACCAAGCTCTCAAGCCTGTGTGATGGCCTGCTGTGAAAAGTTTTGCAGGTGCATCCAGGACCTGCCCTGTACAGTGGACCTTCGAGTTATGACTGGCCTGACAGATGAACAAGTTGGGTTACGACTGGAATTTTAGTTTTAATTTAAGACCATTATGACCAAAGTCTTGAGTTATGACCTGAATGCTGGCTGCCTGTGCTTCAAGATGGTCTCAGATACAGATTTAATCCTTAAAGAGTTCTGGAATGAACATTACAACATCCTTTCCTGTGTGGGGTTGAGAAATCCTGGGCCAATGTTTCTCTAAGGACACTGAGATCTGCCTGTGTACAAGAGAGAGACTTTGAAGGCTGTGTAGAGGAGCCTGAGCCTTCAAGTGACCAACTTGGGTTACAACCAGCCCTCAGGAATGAATTGAGTTTGTAAGTCAAGGGCTCTCTGTACTTGTTACTCATCCTAGCTACCTTTCAATGCAATTAGGACAGTTTACTGCTGTCCAAGGAACAGCTCTGGCCCACCCCCCACCCCCACTTGAGAGGGAGAGAGGGCCGCCCTCCACTTCCGGCTTCTTTCTTTCTTTTTTTAGTAATGGGGACAGAATTGAGGGCCCTCACGTTGAGCATCTCTAACCCTTTTTATGTTGCCCAGACAGAGATCAAACTTAACGATCCTCTTGCCTCAGCCTCCCAGAGTGCTAAGAGTACAAGTCTGTGCCACAACAGCTGGTCCCTTTAAAACTTTTTAATTCGGAGCTCTGAGAAGTCAGCTGGGAGAGGTTGGAAGGCCACCTGTGCCTGGTTGCTTGCTGGGTCATTACCATTCTTCTTGGGACCTCTCCACACCACTGCCTCGTCTGGATTCTCCAGCAGGAAGCCCACAGACATTAGGGAGATGCTCTGCTCCCGGTCCACAAAGACAGGCACCCAGCCACGGTCACATTGGTGTACAGCCCTGCCCTGTGCTTGGAGCATGTTCGGGATGCTGGGGCCACACAGGTCTATGTCCAGGATCCCTACCTGCAGAAGGTCAGACGGCAAAAGCTCAGCAATGCTCAGGCACAGGGGGCCAGGCAATTGGAACTAAACTGAAGTGCTCAGGGCAGGGCCTCACCTTTTTGCCCTCGTGGTGCAGGGCCAGGGCCAGCTCCGTAGAGATGGTGCTCTTCCCCACACCTCCCTTTCCCGAAAGGACAAGGATGATGTGCCGCACACCAGCCAGATTCCCAGGTTCTGGTGAGAAGCAGAAGTTGGGAGGTTGGGTGTTTTCCAGGGACCACAGGCCTTCACTGCTCATTCACGTGGGGTCAGGAAACACTGCCCCTGTACCAAATTCTGAGGACAAAAGCTAATGACTAGACCCAGATGAGACACTCTCCTCTTCTTCCCCACATAAGCAGTGACCCTCAGGCAGAAGGTCTTCTAGGAGCTCCAGGTTGACCTATCCCCGAACCTGTCTGAAGTGAGGCCTCTGAAGGCAAAAATATCCCAAACTGCTCTTCCAAGCAGAAGTAATCCTGGGCCTACAGGTGTCAGGGGGAGGCTGATGGCGCTGAAGACCTGGTGAAGGCATAATCACGCCAGTGTGCCTCCGCACCACCCGGCTAGCTCGAGGTCGCGCTCCCGGGCGTTCAGCGGCGTGCTCAAGACCAGGGGCGGGCCGTGGCGGGTCCCGGAGGCACCGGTGTCCCGCAATGACCAACCCCTACGCAGGCAGCAGGCCGGCCGCACATACTCTGTCAGACCCTCAGACAGTCCCCCCGGTCCCGTAAGCCCGCCTGGCCCGCAGAAACGCTCCTAAACCATCACTCTGTCGGTCCTGCAGAGACTCCCCCGACCCGCAAGCTCACCCGCCGCAGCTTCCATTCCTCTGTAACTTGCGCTCGCGGATTCCTTACGCCACTCAGCGCACCCCCAGCCTCCAGCCAGAGTGAAGAGCCCGCCCCTGGTTCCTTTGAACGCTCCCCCGGCCAATCAAGTAGTCCAAGGGCTGACCAAACTGTGCCCTCTGGTTCCGGCGCAAAGGGCGTAGCGGAGCAAGGACTACTTTCGTGTTCTCTCCTGTGTCCAATGGACTTGCGGAGGTCGCCTCCAACTGTCACCAATGGGGAGGTCGGATCAAGACTGACAGCTCCTGCAACTTCTCGGTAGCAGCCGTGTCTATCGAAACCCGCCCCTATGAGAAGTCCCGACACTGCGCGCCCGCCTTCGGTCTCCGGGCCAATGCGGCGCGGGGGCGGGGATTGTTTACGTCTCGGACGGAGCGGAAAGTGGGTCACGGAAGGCAGACCCCAGCGGCAGCGGCAGGTGAGCGGTACTCGGCCCGGCCCGGCCGACGCAGCGCTGACCTTGCGGAAGAGGAGGCCAGCCGCTCTTTGTCCCCCAGGGCTGGCGGCGGGAGGCCAGGCTGCGGCTGCGGGATCGGGCACCACCTGCAGCGTCGCCGGAAGCCGAGGTCGGTGAAAAGCAGCCCTGGGCCCTACGGGTGGGCGAGCGCGGCCGGCCTCGGCCTGGGGCAGCCCGGCGGGTTTTTCACTCGGCACGGCTAACGAAGGGCAGCCAGGGGCTGAAATTGGGGTATGCAGGGGACGGGAGGCATTCAGGCAAAAAGGCAGGACAGAACTGGCCAGTGGATCGATAAACAGCCGAAGTGAAGAACTAGAGCCAGCCCTTGCGTCCTACCCCGGAAACAGTGACAAACTTTGAACAGATTTTAGATTTATTTCAAAAAAGAGAGCTTGGCAGTAGGGGAGGAGGCGGGAGGAGTTGAGCAGAAGAGTTGTGCAGTTCGGGAGATGGTGTTTGGGCTCCAGCGAGAGCGAGGATGGCCGCAGGTGTGGCGGGAAGAGAACGTGTCAGGGATGATGACTGCGGTGTTTCTGGCATGAGGAACTGGAGGCTGGAGGTGCCATTTGTCAAACTGGACAGTGGAGGAGGAGCGAGTCGGGTTGGAGATCCCCGAGGGGCAGCTGGGCTTCTGAGTGGAACTCCAAGGTGGGCTGAGTGGCGTCTTCCAGTCATGGGCGTTTGGGTGGTGTTTCACACCATCTCCCTCGGTTTGATCAAGGTGCTCAGATACTGGAGCCAGGTATGGGATTGTGAAGAGTTCCAGAGCCCGGGCTCAGCATCCACTGCCGTGGAGCCTCTACCCTTGGGTGGGTTATGAGCCAACCTGCGAAGTTGGGCCCAAATTCCAAGGGCAGAGCACTGGGATGGATCTATAGACCACGTTCCTGTGGGCTGTGTGTCCCCCTGGCTCAGGGATTGTTTTCCTCCAGGTCCTCTTCACCATGGCCAGGCGCCCCCGGAGCAGCAGGGCGTGGCATTTTGTCCTCAGCGCAGCCCGGCGAGATGCGGATACCCGGGGTGTGGGTCTGGCAGGGACTCCTAATTGGGGATACGACTCTGATGGGCAGGTAGGTTCCAGCAGCAAGGTGGGCATGGCTCACCTAAGCACAGGTAATCAAAGAGAGAAATGTTCCTGAGCCAGAGGATAGGCTGACTCCTGAGTGTTCCATGTCCAGCCAGGCACAGATCTAGCCAAGGTTATGCAGCTTGAGGGTGACAGGACCTTAGGACGAATATAGATTTCCTTTTCTTTTTTTTTTTTTTTTGTGACAAGGTCTCGCTATGTAGTTCAAATGGACCTTGAACTTGCCTCAAACTCACTATGTAGCCCAGGTTGGCCTCAAACTTGCAGCGATCCTTCTGCCACTCAGCCTCCTGAATGCTGGGATCCTCCTGCCACTCAGCCTCCTGAGTCCTGGGATTACAGGCCTGCGCCACCACACCTGGCTAAACATGGCTTCTTTCCCATTCTTTTCTATGAAGATTCTAGTATGGGAGAGGTTGATTGCTGGCCTGTGGTCAGTTTGTATAACAAATTTTCTATCTTGTCTGCCCAGCCAGTTTCCAGAGGTAACTGTTGTTGAGTTGCTGTGCGTCTTTCCAGGTGTTTTTCTGTAGTACAACTTCTGTATTCAGCTACACATGTATAAAAGGGAACTGTGATTTTTTTTTTTTCTCGTGGTACTGGGATTGACTGAAGACCTTTGCTCTGAACTACATCCCTAGCCTTTTTAAATTTGGAGTCAGTGTCTCATTAAGTTGCCCAGCTGGGCTTGAACTTGTTATTCTCTTGCCTCAGCTTCCCAAAGTGCTGGGTTTACAGTTGTGAACCATCACATCTGAGCTTGGGGAGGCCCAAGAAGTTGAGGTGGCCAGAAGAGGCTCAGCTCTGTGCCCATCTTATCTGTGGCCAGGCCTGTGGGCCAGGATGAGTGGCTTGTAAAAGCTTGATGCAGTGCAGTGAGGGTGAGGGGAGGGGTGGCTTTTCGTTTGGCTTCCTGAGGCTGGACAGTTACAGCCCTGTGCGTTGTAGTCTGCCCAGACAGATGTCCTGGCCAGGACTGGGCCCCTTATTTGGCTTTGTGGGAGAACTGGGAGCCATGGGTTTACTGGCTTAGTTAGCAGCATTTTGGGGCCTCCTGAGCTTGAAAGGCCAGCCTACATTCCTTCCATGCCTCTAACTCCCACTAACCATGAGGCCTAGAGCAGTCCATTGCATCCCTGCCTCACAGGGTCATGGGTGTGGGTACAGGTGGTGTCGGGGCTGGGCAGTGTGACACATGCATGCTGCTTGTCCTCTGTCACCTAATGGGCCTAAGGTACCTATGTGTGGGCAGGGGGCAGATAGTCATCCTGGGTGTACCTCCCTTCTTTCTGCTTCAGTGCTGTCTTAAGGCTGGTCAAGGGTCAAGTCTGCCTCCTCCCCAGAGAGGGTCAGTTTGACCTTGTGCTCTGGCTCCTCACTCAATGGGCTTGCCTTGATGTTGGGAGGCCTTACTATGCCAGTGGGGTACAGTCCCCTGGGCCACCTTGCCTGGGGGCAGGGCCTCTCTCCAGTAGGATGGCCTGTGTTCACTCTGAGGCTGCCTGAGCTTCCTGTGTGCTGGTTCCCTGTGGCTTCTCTTCCTTAGGGGCAGAGTCCACTTGAACAAAATCTTAGAGGTCTTTGGGCAGTTTCCCCTCAGGTATACAGGAGACTTTCTCACCCATTTAAGATAACATCTGGCCTCATTAAGAGGAATAGGTCCCTCTGGGAGTTCAGGGTCTAGTGGGAGGGTGAAGCAGACAGGACACTGGAGGAAAGTGAATTATAATGAAAGGAATCTGGGAAAGGGTCCTTGGGAGCCTGGTATGGTGGCACATGTCTGTAATCCTAACAGTCTGGGAGGCTGAAACAGGAAGATCTGAAATTAAAGCCTAAGTTGGGCAATTCAGTAAGATCCTGTCTCAAAATTTTTGAAGGGCTGGGGTAATGTCTAAACCTGCTATCCAGGGCAAAGGCAGTGACTGCAGTGCCCCACAGCATAGCTGGTGTTACTGGACATGGCAGAGGGCGACTTTGGGTTTGGATGGGGACTGGCTTTAACTCCTACATTAACAAGACCCTGTGGTGTGACAGGGTCTGCTCAGATTTGAGGTCACCTGGGGTGATGTGCAGCTGTGTAGCAGGGAGGCTGGAACAGAGACCAGGGCTCATAGGGATAGTGGAACAGGCTGGCACAGGCTATCTGTACCTTCCCTGGCCCCTGAGCAGGTTGGCCTGGGGTCTAGAGCTGAGGCAGGTGTCTGGAAGGTCTGGATAGCATTGAAGTAGGAAAGGGTGTGGAGAGACCCTCCTTCGCTGATCTCCTGGGAGGGCCTGTGGGTTGGCTGGTTGCTAGAACCTGACCAGTTCAGCCTTGGTGTCTGACCACTGGGCCAACATCAGGCCTGAGAACTTTGAACTTGAACCACAGGACTGTGCCCCCTTGGAGGTAGTGATGAGAGTCCCAGTGCCTTCCTATAGCAGGAGTAGCAGCATGGGCCCACTGGGCCCTACAGGAACACCCCCTTGCTTTGAGTGACAAGAGGACCTCAGCTCAGGCCCCACACAGTCTCAGGGCTAGGCCTGTGGCTTATCTGTCATCAAGCAGCTGCCTATTAAATGCTAAGAGGGCAGAGCTGGTGGGACCTGCCTTTGATACTCCTTGGTGGCTGGGTATCCAGGACCCCTATGTCATGCAGAAATGGGTTGTGGCTGGGCCAGTCTGTCAGGTGTCAGCACTGAGATTAAGCTATGCTGTGTACCTGTGACCCCAAGGAATCACTTTTGTCCATCCCTCTTCTGGTAGAGTAACAATAATCTGGCTTATGGTGGTGCTGGAGGCAGGTGGTAAGTGGAGGGTAGGGGCAAGTGCCAAGTGGGAACAACTTGCCCTTCTTTTCTAGCACAGTGACTCAGATTCGGACCCAGAGTACTCATCTCTGCCGCCATCTATCCCCAGCGCTGTGCCTGTGACCGGGGAGTCCTTCTGTGATTGTGAGGGCCAGAGCGAGGCTGCCTTCTGTAGCAGTCTGCACATGGCCCACCGTGGCAAGGACTGCAGCTGTGGAGAGGAGGATGAGTGTGAGCACCTGGGTTGGGTCCTCCTGGAATGTACAGGGTAGGCCTTGTGGCTCTGGAGCCCACCCTAGCCTGGGACTTTCTCTATTTTGATTTTGCAGATTTTGACTGGGTCTGGGATGACCTGAACAAGTCATCGGCAACCCTGCTTAGCTGTGATAACCGCAAGGTCAACTTCCATATGGAGTACAGCTGTGGTACTGCAGCTATCCGAGGCACCAAGGAGCTGGGCGATGGCCAACACTTTTGGGAGATTAAGATGACTTCACCTGTCTATGGTACTGACATGGTAAGTAGCCACTGGCCTGCAGGCAGCCACTATAGCCCCCGGGCCCAGTAGCCCCTGCTCAACCCCATTATCCCCAGATGGTGGGCATTGGGACATCAGATGTGGACCTGGACAAGTATCAGCACACGTTCTGCAGCCTGCTTGGCAGGGATGAGGACAGCTGGGGCCTGTCCTACACAGGTGCGTGTGGCCTGGGTGGGGTAGGCTGGCGGGAAGGGCAGCATATAGCTTCTGGGCTCACATACCCAGCTATCCCCAGGGCTTCTCCATCACAAAGGTGACAAGACAAGTTTTTCCTCGCGGTTCGGCCAGGGCTCCATCATTGGTGTGCATCTGGACACCTGGCACGGGACACTGACCTTCTTCAAGAACAGGAAGTGCATAGGTGAGGGCGCTACCGTGTGTGGCTTCCCTTGCTTGGCCTGACCCTGAGTGGAGACCTAGAAACCCAAGCCCCTAGGGTCTTGGGGTGTGTGTGTGTGTGTGTGTACATGTACATGTGTGTACGTGTGTAGCTCAGGGACCAGGCCGGAGTCCCCTGGACCAGCATCCTCTGTCACAGCTACACAAGCTGCTTCCCTTGGCTACCCCAGCATGGTGTTTGGGGAGGGCTGAGCCTGGCAGGCAGGACTCCCTTCCCTGTGTCTTCCTTCCAGGGGTGGCAGCTACCCGACTACAGAACAAGAAGTTCTACCCAATGGTGTGCTCCACAGCAGCCAAGAGCAGCATGAAGGTGATCCGTTCTTGCGCCAGCATGACCTCCTTGCAGTACCTGTGCTGCTACCGCCTGCGCCAGCTGCGACCAGACTCAGGGGACACCCTTGAGGGCTTGCCTCTGCCACCTGGCCTTAAACAGGCACTGCACAATAAGCTGGGCTGGGTCCTCAACATGAACTGCAGCCTCCACAAGCCTGCTGTGTCCTCACCCAGGGTGGTGGACCTGACCAGCCCCAACAGTCCAGAGACCAGGCCCTGCCAGAGAAAGCGCTGCCGACGGAGCTGACTTATTTCTTGAAGACTGCCTTCTCAGCCTGTGACTGGCATTCTCCATCCCTGCCCTCCAGCTACCCATCAGGCAGGAGAGAGGAAAGCTGGGCTGAAATCTATCTGGGGTTGTCTCATCTCCCCCAGGGCCAGGACAGTCTTTGCACAGGAGGTCCAGGGCCCCAGGCTCTCAAGTCCACTTAGCTGCCTGTGCTGGGCAGGGTAGAAGCCATACCTGTGCCCCCAGCATCTCCCTCTTGAATGCCCTGGGTGCAGCACCCTGAACACCTCTGGACCCAGACTGTGGGCCTGGAAGGCTGGGGTGGGCCAGGGTGCAGGCGTCTGCTGCCCCGGGGAAGAGAAAGGCTCGGGTGGAGCTCAGTTCATTCTGTTCCTGCCGGACCTGGATTTTTTCTTAGCTCGCTTTGCATGTTATCAGCTGCTGCTCCTGTCACAGAGACTTTAATAACTGTATCAAATACTCATACAGCTGTAAGATTAAAGAGTCCACCTCAAGGCCTCGGGCTCTCCTGTGTCCAGTTTTCCTCCTGCCAGGTCTGGCTATGTCCAAAGCTTGGAAGGGGCAGGCCTGGTTCGCCTCTCCCCAACATCTCTTACTCCTCCCAAGGAAGCCACCCCTCAAGCCTCTGGGTGGCTGTGGGCCTGGGTACTGCCCAACAGCCCCTTCTGGACACACTGCTTGGCTCCTTGGCTCCCCTGAAGCCAGAGGGTCCAAGGCCAAGAGTTCCCATCTTCTCCAGGTCCTTCTGCTGCCTGCCCCCCTGCAGTGGGGAAGAGCATGTGTTTCTGCTCATTCCAGAACTTCCCTCCACCCTTCACCCACCCATCAAGCTTAGACCTGACCACCCAGGGACTGAGTCCACATGGGGTCCTGTCTTTCAGGGTGTCCAGTCAGTCTCTGGGTTGGGCTATATACTGTCCTGCTGATGGATGTAGGAGGAAGCCCAAATGGGTCCTGCAGGTATGTGCTCAGGAGCCCAGGTCCACAAGGAGGTCAGGGTTGGTAGATTCTGCATCAGGAGGTCAGGAAGAGGCAGATTCTGTGTGAGAGGTCAGGCCCTACCCTTTGGTGCTGCCTGCCTTTGTGGGTCTTCACAGGAAGGTCAGCCAGGAGGCCAAGGCGCTCCTGTTCTGTGCTGCAGTTCAGGAATGCCTAGGGCAGGAACTGAAGTGAGAAAGGTGGGCCTTGGGGACCTGGTCTCCATTCCTGGGAAGGGAAGGGAAGGGGACACTTGGAGGGGCTCACCTGCTGCAAAAGATGGGGAGAGGGGAAGGCACCAACCACAGCATCAGCCATGGCTGGGCTGACCCTGTTAAACTGCTGGATCTGCCTCCACCACACCCCCTGCAGCCCGGAGCCATCTCTGGCCACTCTCTGGCTTGAGGCCCAGCGCCCTGATGTGCAGAAGGAAAAGGGCTTCAAGTCCTGGTACTGCCTGAAACAAGAAGGGCATAGGGACCTTTCAGAGGCCTTCTGTACCCCTCCAGCTCAGCAAAGCCCTCTGGCCTGTCTGCTCTCAGGAGGCACTTCTTCCACCCTTTGTAAGCCATCCTGTCTCAGCTCTGGGCAAGGGTACGTACTTAGAGGGTCATTGGGCGAGGGCTTTGGTGAGGAAGCATACATGCTGACTCAGCTCCTGCCATGAGGTCACCAACAGCACGTCCAGGTCTCTGAGGAGCAGCTGGAGCACCAGGCCTGGTAGGGCAAGCCATAGGTGTGGGTGGGGCCCTACTCAAGAGAACAGCCCCTATGCTGGCACAAAGCTCACTGTACCGCTCAATTCAGGCTGACCCTTACCTCTTCCACCTCAGGCCAGCCAATGATCATCTGGGCCTGGTCCACCACTGGACACTCTGGCTGCTGGGGCCCCTGGGTACTTGGCTGGTGAGACCTAAACAGAGGTAACCATCCCTCCATTCCGCACATACCCTCAGTCCTACCCTCCCTGGGTTCTTCCACCTGGGCTTATCCTGGGCAATGGGACTCACACAGCACCCTGTAGAGCGACCCCCCACCCCATTTCCCAGAAACCCATCTCAGCTAGGTTTACTACAGGCATTAGAGTGAAGAGTACCACAGGTAGGCATCCAGCCTGATGACAGCCACATGGGGACGGGCAGGGCTCTTGGGAGAAATCCAGGGCATGGAGCAAGGTGGACCTGAGGTCTAAGGCAAGAAGTACAGCACATCTGTTCACACCTATTGACAGGAAGGCTGTGGTGGTGGGGTCACGGGTCACCAAGCCACAGCCATTTTGCAAAAGAGGAGGAAAGTCTCAAGAAAATGAGCTCTGTGCCTCCCTGAGGTCAAGTAGGTTAACGGGAACCTCCCCTGGGCACACCCCAGATCCTAGAAGAATTGGACAGAGTCCCTTCATTTCTCACCACCTCTGTACCCCAGGTGGGCATTTACCTGGCACACAAGTGCTCAATAAATGCTGACCTTTGGATGCCGGGACCCAGCAGAAGGTCTAACTTAGGGATGCCTGAACAAATGTCAGGTGGGCATTCTAGTTCTCCTCCAACAGAGGCTACTGAGTACCCCGATAAGGGCTAGACTGTTGGTTGTTGTAGGCAAACCCCACTCAACATCTCAGCAGTTTCTGACTAGAGAGAAGCCCAAGCCCACCTGTGCCCCATGCACAGGAAGGTCAAGCACCTGAGTAAGCTGAGCCACTCCCTGCAGAAATTCTTGAGGTTCCAGTAGCAGCAGCAGCTCCTGGTCCTCTGCAGCCCACACCTCAGGAAGCACCTGTGGGTACACTGAATCCTGCTGCTCAACCTCAGCCTGGGTGACCAGGGCCAATACTGGCACCCCAGCAGCTCTCCCATCCACACCCAGGCCTGCTTTCCCAAAATCCCACGTTAGGTTCCAACCGGCCTTAACCCCAGCCTCACTGAGAGGCAGTGTCCTCTGGCAGCAGCTGAGAGCTGCCTTCTTACTGGCAGAGTGCTGAGGAAACGGGGGTCTCTCAGTCTATCCCTCTGCCAGGCTTGCCTGGGACCAGAGCTTCACTTTTAGGGGACACTCACGCCTGGGGGCCGGGGGTCAGGCTTCACTCGACTCCACGTAGGCTGCAGGCTGGACTCTGTGGCTCGATGCGACACTCACACCCCAGGGCACCCAGTGCCTCCAACAGGATGTCTCAGCCAGCGTCTTCCAGGACAGCTGGGCCGCGGGGTACAGTTCAGTCACTATCCGCTCCCACTCAGAACTGGCGGGGTTCGGGTGCAGCCCCACAGCCAGGCTCAATCCCCCTCCCCGTCCCGGTGTTCCTCTTCCTTAGAGTGACAGCCCACAGAGCTCGTCCCCGGGCTTGGCTGGGGACCCCCACCTCAGGATTCAGGAAGGACACGCCCGCCAGCAACTGAGTCAGCTGGGCTGTGCCCTGTAGAATGTCCCCAGGCCCACATCTCCCACCCCAGGGCCCACGTCCCGATACCTGGGTCTACGCGCACCACCAAGTGCTGCAATGCCTGCTTGGGCCGCCGTGCCTCAAGTGCTGCCCTGCGCTGCCCTGCCGCGCTCCGGGCTCCAGCACCCTCCTTCGACATGGCGTCGGCCTCAGAGTCCGAGTACGAGATCTCCCAAGTCGGGGGCCGCCGCTGGCTCCGAACCCGGCCCCTTCGCGAGCCCACGGTCCTCCCAGGCCCCACCTCCGCCATGGTGTAGCCTCATTTCGATTTCCGGCCGGGCCCGGACACCTTTACATCAGACACTAGATGCTTCCGGTGTGGGCGGGCTCGGGGCGTTCTAACTTCCGGTGGGTTCTCGGCTTAGATGCAACCATGGCGCGCAAGAAGGTGAGGCCGCGACTGATCGCGGAGCTGGCCCGCCGCGTGCGCGCTCTGCGCGAGCAGCGGGAGCGGCCTCGCGACTCGCAGCGCTACGCCCTGGACTACGAGACTCTGACGCGGCCGTACACTGGCAAGCGGCTCCCAGTGCGTGCCTGGGTCGACGTGCGTCGCGAGAGCCGCCTCCTGCAGCTGCTCAGCTGCCTGCCGCGCTTTGGCCTGGGACGCCTGGTCACGCGCAAGTCCTGGCTGTGGCAGCACGACGAGCCGTGCTACTGGCGCCTCACGCGCGTACGGCCAGACTACACGGCGCAGGTGCGCGAGCCCAGTCAAGCCCCTAGCGCCGCCCGGGCCCCGGGTTGAGCGGCTTGCTAAGTTGATCCGTACCCCTTGCTTCGCAGAACTTGGACCACGGGAAGGCCTGGGGCGTCCTGACCTTCAAAGGTAAAGCCAGGGCCTGGGAGCGCGGGGCGGGAGGCAGCCGGTTTTTCGAGCGCGGACAGCCCTGTCCCTTTCCACAGGGAAGACGGAGAGCGAGGTTCGGGAGATAGAGCATACCATGCACCACGACTGGCGGCTGGTGCCCAAGCACGAGGAGGAAACCTTCACAATATTCACGCCGGGACCCGAAGACGACCTGCGCCCTGTGCCCTACCCGCCGTTGCTCCGTGCCATGATCCTTGCAGAGCGGCAGAAAAATGGGGATTCTAGCGTCGAGGAACCCCTGCTGAGCCTAGAGAAGACGCCCACGGATCCTTGGGACTACCCTGCGAAACTGGAGGCCAAGAGCAAGGCCAAGGGCACTCCGGTCTGACGCGCGGGGACCGGGATGGACGCTGAAGGCCTTGCCTTTTGATGGGGAAGGTTGGGGTGGCCCTGCCGCCCTGATACGAGGACCCGAGTACGGGCTCCCGCTGGTGGGCTGCAGGACGCAGCGGGCTGGAAGTCACCCCAAAGAACCCCTTATCCGCTCCTGCGGCCGGGAATAAACGCTCCAAATGGTCTGGGTCTTGGTTTCTTTTGCTCTTGCTGCCGCGGACGGGGTGGGGGTGGGGTGCTGTGTATCTCAGCAGGCGGTGGCGGTGCCTTCTCGCCCCGTCGATCCCGCCCCGCGCTTACAGTCGCCACGATCTGCCTGGTGCTGACCTTTTTTGCCCACCTCTTCCCCGCGGGTGAGCGCCGGGCCGGGGTGTGCAGGGGGTGGGAGGGGTCGTGCTGTGGGGCGGGCTTGACGACCTGGTCCCTGCAACCTGCCGTGGAGTGCACGAGCGCATCTTTTTGGTTGCAAAGCCCGATGGGGCGCAGCGGCGGCTGGTGGGAGAGATCGTGCGGCGCTTTGAGAGGAAGGGCTTCAAGCTCGTGGCACTGAAGATGGTGCAGGTGCGCGGGCTGGGGCGGGGGATGGTGCAGGGGCGTGCTGCTGGGGGGAAGCGGGATGGGAACGCGAGGTGCATGCGGCCGTCCCTCCCCCAGGTCTCTGAGGAACTGCAGCGGGAGCATCTTGCGGACCTTCGCAGATGCCCCTTCTATGGTTGCTTGCTCAAATACATGGGCTCCGGGCCCGTGGTGGCCATGGTGAGTTTCCAGTAGTGGGCAGGCTGGTACCTTGATCCCAGAGCGCTGCCCACGCCCCCCCCCCCCGCGCGCTCAGGTATGGCAGGGGCTGGACGTTGTGTGAGCCTCGAAGGCCCTTGTTGGGGCCACAGACCCACTGGATGCTGAACCTGGCACCATCTGCGGGGATTTCTGCATAGAGGTTGGCAAGTAAGGCCTGCACAGTTACTTCTGTCCCCTGGTCGTTGGCCCCTCTCAGCCGGCTCATTCTGCTCTGCACACCCCCAGGAACTTGATCCACAGCAGCGACTCCGTGGAGAGTGCCCGTCAAGAGACCGAACTCTGGTTTCGCATGGAGGAGATACTGTGCTGGAAGGACAGCGCCTCACACTGGTTATATGAGTAGGGAGGAGCTGACCTGGTGGGAGACTAATGCACCCTACAGAACTCCCCTAAGCAGTGGACGCAGGGCACCTGCGAAAACTATGTAGCGGAGCCACCTCCCTGGCCCACAGCACCTGGAATCATCACACTTCATCTCATCCATTATTATCAATGTTTTCATAATAAACTGAGAAAAACCTGTGTGTGCACTGGCTTGGTCCCAGGGAGCAGAGACACTGTGTCAAGACATTTATTACATACAGAGCAGATATGTGGGTTCACTTGCAGGACTGAACAAAGCCTGAGGAGAACTGTACCAGCCTTTCTCCAGCTCCACCCACCCTCTAAACCCAGTCACTTCAGCTCCTGTGGGGACAGACAGGGACATACATCACAGTGGAGAGGTGGCAGGGTGGTGGGGAGAAGCCTGCAGCTACATGTGGCTGCAGCCTGTGGTGGCCAGCTGGGCTCATGGCGTAGTGCCCTAAGATCTGTGCTTCTCTAGGGGGTGGTGGGTAGCAGGGGCCACGCTGCCCTGATCAGTGCCTTGGAGTAGGAGTAAGGCCTGGGTTGGGAAGGTGGGTAAGGAGGGCAGCCCAGGGCCTGCTGCAGTGGCCCTGTCTTTGTCCTCTGGCCTCTGCTGGGCAGTCCCTCACCAGTTGCTCTTCATGGGAGCAGACCAAAGCGGGCAACCCTAGGCACTTAGTGCATGTCTGGGAGCTGGGCTTCTTGGAGCTCTGTGCAAGGGACAGACCCCAAGAGTACACCACCCCCATCAACCTGAGGCTGAGCCTGCACTCTGGACCAACTCCCCCTTTCCCCCCCAGGAGAGGCCATAGACCTCTCCTTCCTGAGGCCTGGGCCTGCCCTGGCAGCCTGAGAAATTCTACCCTAGGGGCTTCAGGGAGGGATTTGACTCTAGGATCCTGCTCTTCCAAGGTGAGCCTGGGAGGACATGGGTCAGCAAGGGCTGGACTGGATGGCACCTGGTTTGTCTTCTGAAGAAGCTGCCCTGGTGAGTCTGGCCCCAAGCTTTAATGCCAGATCCCAGGGGAGGCTGGATAGGGTTGAGGGAATGCTATTTGTGGATGGGGGATACCCACAGAAGGCTGGCTGGGGTCCAGGCAGCCTGAGCCTCACCTCCCTGGACACAGGATGGTTACTGGGCCTAGCCTTCTTACGGAGAGCAAGAGCCTGGGGGCCGAGGGACCCCACTCCCATGGGCAGCATGCAAAGCAGGTGGACTCTGGGTAGGAAGACTTGGCTGCTGCTCCTGCCGTGGGGTGCCAGGAGTGGGGCACCCACAGTGGACCAGGGCTGCCTGAAGGGGCTGCCCAAGCCACCTTGGCCTTGCCCTTACCCTGAAGTGCCTTTGAGACTTGATGACACTGGGCTGGGTGCCAGCCAGGTACTGCTGGGGAGAAGGTGGGTGTTCTCAGAGGTTCTCCCCTCCCTGCTGGGAACACTACCTGCTCCCCGCCTCCCTCCCTGTGACCCGTATCACCCCTCTCCCTGCCAGCTGGGTGGAGGGGGCTGGACTTCAGGTGAAAGCTGCAAGTTGAGAGGTTAGGAGGGGGTGGTCGGGTGCCTGGCTGCCTCAGGGGAGGAGACAAAGGACAGGCAGGCAGGGGTCCTATGTACACATTGGCATCAGGCAGGGTGGGGAGTTGGGTCAGTGGCCTCACTCTGGGGTGTAGGACACCTGCCACACGATGATGTGACTGCGCTCTGCCTTGGACAGCATGGGCTTCACCTGGCTGATGTCCCCTGCACCTTCCTCTGTCTCGTCGTCCTCTCCGTCTCCTGCAGAGTCACAGTAGTCGGGCAGCACCTGCCTGCCAACACCTGTGACCCTGCCCTGGGCAGTGCCCACTCACCAATGCGGAAGTCGATGTAGCCTTCACCACCACTCAGCACTAATGCGTTCTTTAGCTTCTGGCCCTCAGTGTCCACAGCAGGTGCAGCAGGCCCAGGGCCCTCAGATGGACTGTCTAGAACACTGCCATTGAGGGTGGCCAGCACATTCCCTGTCATGGGGCAGAAAGGCCTCAGTATGGCAGCCTCTTGAACGGGCTACCACTGTGTCCCTACAGTGGTGGGCAAGCACTGGGGTGGGCAGGGTGACCCCTCACCTGGCACTGAGACAAAGAATTTGACAGCATCACGGTGCCCATGGAAACAGAGCTGAGCTTGAGCCATGGAGCAGTAAGGGATGAAGCTGCTGGCTGATTTGTCACTGCTGTCATCCCCGTACACATGGATGACGCCCCCTGGGCGGGCGCCCTCCCCAGATGTAGGAGATGTCTTATTGGCTGGAGATACAGAGGGCACTAAGCCACCTCATTTCCAGCAAGGGAGGGGGGAAAAGAAGGGAGGGGAGACAAAGGACAGGAGGGAGTAGAGTGACCACCTTGGGCTGTGTCTGGGGCACAGCCAGTGCTGTATACTCACCCCGGAGCCCTAGGAGCTGGCCTCGATGCAGGACCACAGCTGGTGAGGAGAGGCAGAGATTGAGTGTGGCTACAGCCAGGGTCCCCACCCCATTCTGACATGTGCTCTTTAGGAGTAGCCATCACTATCTCTGCAGGTATCTTAGGGTGGGAGTCACTCACTCTCAGTCAGCGGAATGGAGATGACAACCCCATTGCCAGTGCCCACCCAGAGGCGGTTGCCTGCGATGAGCAGTCCTGTGATGCGCACAAAGGAGAAGCCCAGCTTGCCAGTGCCTGGGTGGGAGCAGGAGAGGCTGAGTCAGCGTGGCCCATGTCATTGTTCCCACCCTGCTCCCACCCAGTGCCACCCCTCACCCAGCATCTTGCTGACGTAGGGCTCAATGTCCACATCCTGCAGGTGCTGGTGGGTGTGGGCGTGGTAGAGCCGCAGGGTGGAGTCCAAGCGGATAGATACCCACACTCCATCACCAATCCATGCCAACTGCCGCACCTGGCTCTCCCGTCTTGGATGGGCATCAAATGACTTCTGTAGGGTCATGGTAGCCAATCAGTGAGGCTGGGGGAGGAGAGAATGGGGAGGGGACCCTGAACCTGTCAAAGCCCCAGGGGCCACCCCAATATCTATTCAGCCCACTCCAGCGTCTGATCCAGCATCTGCATTGCTCCCAGGGGTCTAGGCCCTGGACTAAGGTCAAACCACAGGAGAGGTATGTGTCCTTGACTTCGGTTTTAAGGGTACATAGCACAGGGCAGGCAACAGACATACTGGCAACTATAGCCTAGCTGCACTTTACTTGCCCATGCCTTTGAACAAAGGAGCAATTTCTCTGAGTAGTTCCCCACTTGGCTTCCCTCCCCTGACACTGCTGGTCAGCACTTGCCTCGATCTGCATTGTCTTGGGCTGGATAACGTGCACCTTGTTCTTATAGCCACACCAGACGCGGTCATACACAACAGCCATGCAGCGGATAGAGTGGTGAGGGTGGCCCAGGTCCATCAGGTGGTAATTGGTTAGGTCCCATTGGCCATCTAGAGAGAGCCCACAACACTTACTCAGGCTGGCTAGGGTCCCTCTACTCATGGGTAGGGGTGGAGAACCCACTGCCAGGCTGAGAACAGCCCCAGGGACACAGGGGAGTGCCCCAGCCAACTGTAGTAGGGCCACTAAACCTTACCCTCGCCACGGTGGAAGATGGCCAGAGTCCCATCCGCGAGAGCCACCAGCACACGGCCTTTGACATGCCTGCAATCGAAAGGCAGTGAGCCAGGCTCAGGCTAACCAGGCCACTTGGGCCCCCATCTGACCCCCAGCCCTCGGTGTAGGGTAACATACACCAGGCTCAGCACAGAGTCCTTTAGCTTGATGGAGTGCAGACACTTCTTCCAGTTGGCCACAGCCGAGTGCACATACAGCCTGTGGAAGGAAGTTGAGGTGGGCATGGACACAAGTACAAGTGAAGCCTGGAACCCTCCAACCCTTGCCCTAGTCTGATTACCAGCCATTCTGGGATCCCAGCCACATGGTGGGCGCGGCACTGCTGCCTGCTGCTGAGGGGTCCCCGGTGGGCTCTGGCTGGGGTTGTACACTGTTGCCATCGACCTCTGGCCCATTCTCACTGCAAAAAGGATGGTGACTCCAAGGTAGCCCAAAGATTGTGCCTGACCCCTTCCCTGAGACCCTGCCACCTCTTCCAGTCTCCCCTCTATTTCTGTCTTGCTGGACCTGAGAGAGCCCACCTGCCAGGCTGAGTGCTGGAGGGTGGGGCAGGTGCTGGGTCTGTGAAGACATGCTCTGTGAGGGGCCCAGGCCGCACTGCGGCTGTTTCTGGCTCACTGGACCCAGGGTCTGGCACCTCCGTAGCTTCTGTGGCCTCCTCTGTAGACTGGGACGGATTCACCTTCCCATTGGCAGTGGCAGCCACCTCTCCTGTGGAAGGAGGGGTGAGCTTCGCTGGGCAAAGATGAGAGGAACAAGGTGGATGGAGAGAAGGCTGCCTAAGACTTACCTTGGCCCTTGTCTAGCACTGGGGTGTCCCCTCTAGAGGAGCAGTTGCTACGTGGCACATTGCAGCGAGTAGCGCAGCCCACCAGTGTAATGCCAGCCAACACACCATCGGTGCTGGAGTCCTCAGGATTCATGTCACTGTCCAGGAACATCTCCCCTGGGGGGTAGTCGCTGTCACTGGCCGCTAGGAGGAGAGTTACAGCCTGTTAGTCATGCCAAAGAGCCCAGTACTTCAAGGCCACACCAGAGTTCAGCCCCGTGGAGGCAGCGGGAGAGATGGATGCCATCCACTGGGGCCAGTGTTCTACATTCTACTAGCTGGACATAGGCTCTAGGCAGAGCCAGCCCAGTCTCACTGTTGGCAGTACTCTGGCTCCATTGGGACATCCACATAGAGACCTGGGAGACCAGCAGGCTCATTCTGCTTGGTGGGGCCCCCAAGCCAAAGGGAGCAGAGAAATGAGGGTTTGGTCCTTGGAACAAACAGCATCTGGTCATGTGATAAACCCTGAAGAACTTTAAGGAGCTAAGGTTTTATACTTGAGACCCGCAGGGCCCTTATC